GAGTGACCAGGAATAATGGTCACAAGCTGGCAGAGGGTAGGTTTAGGTTAGACATCAGGAGGCGCTATTTCACGGTCAGGGCGGCTAGGGTCTGGAACCAACTTCCAAGAGAGGTGGTGCAGGCTCCTACCCTGGGGGTTTTTAAGAGGAGGTTAGATGAACACCTTGCTGGGGTCGTTTGACCCCAGTACTCTTTCCTGCCATGGCAGGGGGTTTGACTAGATGATCTGCTCAGGTCTCTTCTGGCCCTAGAAACTATGAAACTATGATGTGTGTTATATCTGAGAAAAGATGGTAATCTGGACTTAAGTCTAGAAGATCTAATGGTTTCTCAGACCTATGAAATTTTATCCCGAATCAGTCACAGGCTACCATGGCCTGACCTCTTACCCTATAGAACAGTATACATGTCTCCCTTGCCAACCACAGTTTTGAGTATCCATGCTTAATAGTCTATATACCATTTTAGCTACCACGGTATACAGTTTTGAGTAACCATGGTTTTCTGTGGTTGCACATCAGCCCGCCACCTGCTGTTTTTCCCATAAGCCTTTTGTCTTGCCAACCATGGTTTTGCCAAACACGGGAACTTTCAGGAACCTAACCCTAGTGGTTGACAAGGGAAACCTGTACTTTAAAAGAGTTATGCTATTTTTAACAGACTAACAAAATCTTTTCAAAGTAATTCATAGTCTGGATACTATGAGTTAACATCTCTTACAGATTGTTTCTCCTTTGAGTTTTGTGATAGTGAAATTAATTTGATTATCAGTCACACCAACTGGAAAATTTCAATAAGATAAGCATTTTGACCCCCCAATTTTTTTTTGTTGTCACCACCTATCCCTTCTCCTACCCTCCCCATCCCTACACATACAAACACGCACACAATTTCAAAACAGATTATCTACTTAATAAATGACACTTAACCAGTCAAGTAAGACATAGGTAGCATTCAGACAACCTCTCCCTCATATCAGGTGTTCTTGATTTTTATATACTTATTGCTGCCATGAGTGCCATAATGCTTGAAGTACAACTTTACCCTTGTGCATGGCCTGACACGCCACATCCCACCATGGCCCGGAGGAAAACAAACCAGATGTAGGATGGAGAAAATGATGTCAGCAAGGAGAAATAGGCCCCCCACAGGAAAGAGATCAGCAGAATCTGAAAGGGAGAGGTCAGAATGGAAAAAAAATTAAGCTCCAATTCAGAATATTGTCCTGTTCAAGAGAGCACTTTAAGCAGGTGCTTGTTAGTAAAGCAGAAATCAGCTGACCCCATTCAGATGTTCCAAGTGCAGGTGTCTGGGAGTCTGCTGAAATGAACTGCGGTGGGCAAACGCTTCTGCTTGGTGAGCACCACCTCCAGTTGAGCTGGCACAAAAAGTTCCATAGTCTCATTCTTCCAAGCTGGCTTCTTAAAGCACCTGATCCAAAGCCGGCTGATGTCTCAATGGGTCTGTCTGCACCAGTAGGGGCCAGCCTTTTTTTGGCAGATGTGTCACAAATTACCTGCGCACCCTTCCCAAGTGCCACTCTGATCCCCTTCCCCTGCCCTATCTGCTGCTCTCCCTTCTGCTCCCACACCTGTGCTCCCAGCCTAATATTCTCCTCTGCTTTCTGCCTCCTGACCGATATATCTGCTGCTATGCTGCATGTTCCCTCCCCAGACTGGCACGTACAACTTTTGGCATGTGTCATGGGTTGGCAACCTTGGTCTATACCATAGTTCCAGCATGTCTCCTGGCAGAGATGCTTCCAAACAGACCCAGCTCAACTCTTCCTGTCCACCAATTTCAAACCTGGAAAGGCATCCATCAGAAGTATCCCCCTAAGGCAGGGCCGGGCAATTATTTCGGGTGGAGGGCCACTTACTGAGTTTTGGCAAGCCATCGAGGGCAGCATGACAGGGAGCCAGAGGCAGATAAATATTAATTTTCTAAATTTTTTAGGGGCCCCGCGGACTGGATAGAATGGCCTGGTGGGCTGCATCTGGCCTGCGAACCACATTTTGCCCACTCCTGCCCTAAGGCTACTCAGAGATCTCGGTCTCTGAAGTGCTTGTGAGTGGCCATTGGGTTAACCTTGGAGTGGCCTTACAAGCACATTTCTAGGTTTGGAACAGGAATGGGTGGGCAGGGCATGCTCAGGAGTGTCTCTGACTGGACATACAGCTACCACAGAGCAAACTCATGCTACAAATCTTTTAATGGGTTTTAGAGCAAGCTGAAGGGGAGACAGAAAGGGCCAAAGATCCACAGCTTTGCATCCAATTGATATTAATGTTACCTTGTTCATTTTTAAATGCTTCAACCTCCCACTACTCAACTACAGTACACAGTCTAGCTTCTCTGTCACCAGTGTCTACGTTCATGGAGCCTGGTTTCCCATCCTGAAAGGGACCAGGGACCAGGGACCAGTCTCCTGGAAACACTTCTAATACTGGAAACACATGGGATACAGAAGTAGGGTAGTAACTTCTTAATAATTTGCAAATCCTCTATTGGTGCTCACCATGTTCTATGTTTTTGGAGGCATAACTAGGGGCCCATGTTTGAAAAATCTCCCCAGATTGCATTCCAGTCCTGCCTGTGAGTCACTTTGTGTCCTTGGGCAAGGGTATGCAAAAATAACAACAGGGATGTTGCGAGGATTGTTTGAGTTATCCTTGTAAAGAGTATGGCACATCTCAGGAATCACATAAAAGCCAATCTTATAGTTACAGTTTTTCTGTGAGATTGGCTTGAACACTTAACAGCAAGTAAAATGGAAAGTTTGGGAACACTCACCTTCCAGCGACCGTACCTGTCAGCTAGCAATCCAAGGAGTATACTGAATATCATATAGCCAAAAAACACCATCTATGAGGCAGCAAAACAATGCATAGTTAATTAGCTGGGGGTTCCCATACTCCAACTTATTTGCTGCACTGCTCTTAAATTTGTGGTTGCTTCTGACATAGAGGCACTAACAAGAGTGACCTGAGTCAGACACAAAGTCAGCATGCACAGTTTTTATCAGGTGCCTTCATCCAAACTGGCAGCCTCCCTCACTATTTCAGTCCTGATCCTCCTGATGAATGATACCAAGCCTTTGGAAAGAAGATGGTTTGGGATGGACTCAGAAGATCTGGTTTCTGACCTTAGCTCTGTCACAAGTTTTCGCTGTGACCCAGGGTAAGTCACCCATTTTTTCTGGTGAGTGATAACAATTCCTTCCCTCAAAGGGCTGCTAGGAGACAGAGAATGCATTTGCACTGTGCAATGCAGTGCTGTGTAGAAACACGCAAGCTAGCTTGGGTACAGAAGCAACATAGTCACACTAACATGGCGCTTTGCCCAGGCTAATATATTCCACTTCTCAGCAGGGCTAGTAAACCCCTGATGGACCACCAGCAGGTCACCAGCACTACTTCTGGTACCTGAGCTGGCTCATTTAGAGCTAACTGAGGTGTCTCTGCTCAACCCTGCATTGTATTATATGCAACCCTGCCATAAATTCATTAATGTCTATGGTATTCAGAGAATGCAAAGATGAGCCTTCAAAGCATCTATAAGTAAATATATAAAAACTGGGTGCTGGTTTTCTATCTAGGTGCTTATATGTAAGGGCCTAACCAACTCAAGGAGGCAGGCGGCTGATTTCACCGGCAGATCGCAGGGCTGACTGCCATTTTTGAGGGCTTATCATAGTGCCCTCCCCCATGCCTCTGATTGGCCAAGAGGCCCCAGTGGCCCTACCTGCCTGTGTGCCAGCAGCCCCCTGCCCTCCTCTCTTTCCCCTGGTGGACTGTGTGGCTGGAAGGACTGCTGGCTCCCACTGAGGAGCCAGCATTTTGTTTTTAGTAAGTTTTTTTTGTTCGTTTGGGGTTGTTGGTTGTTGGGGGGGTTCAGAGAAACTGCACCCCAAAATCCTGAAAGCAAAACTAGGGTCACATGTACGTGTTAAGACTCAGTGGGGTCAAAACTGCAGGCATGCTAGCCCCTGTGGAGGCCATAAAGTCTGCTAAGTTTCAAGGAGGCAGGTGCAGGGGCTTTGGGGAAACTGCACCTCAAAAT